GGTGTACACATCAGATTTTTTCATCAGTAATCAAATCGAAAACCTTGTCAATCATTAGTACTAACGTAATATTACATCCGTTTATTGAAAAACATTTAAATACTGAATAGGAGTTGTGAATCCATTTCAGAGTCTATAATGTTTTATTACAATATTAATTATGTTTAAGTAAACACAATCTGCAAACATCCACGGCGGCTTAGGGACAAAAATTTTTCCAGCATCAGATCCCACGAGCATAATCATGTTCTGCTTCCTACAATCTAAATTTCTATGATAAGCATATTTCTTAATTACTTTTTAAATTATTTCAACTCTTTAATTATCTTTTTAATCATATTTGTGAACATTTTGGATACAACATATGAAATGCGAACGGCAAGAATGTTTTAATAAAACTCAATTAAAAGCATTTCAAAGCATTCGTAAGATAGAAAATCTTGTTGTTGATTAAATGCTATTTAAAAAAAATACCTGTTCAGGAATAGATTGAAAATATCTGAATAAAACATGATTATCAGAAGTAAATTAAATTGCGAATCCTATCTTCTAATTCATAATTTTTTTGTCAAAATATACGAAATATTTAATTATTGTATATTTAATTTATATGTTACGGTGAAACACCGAAATCTGGAGAATGTCGACATTCACCGGTGAATGTCAACATTCACATAGTCTCTTGGTGTATGTCCGAAATATTTCCAATACTTTTATTTTCTGACTTACACTGGTAATGTCGACATTCACCATGTACTGATGATGAATGTTAAACATTAAGATATTATATTTTCTCTTCCGTAATTCAGTTCGCGAATAAACCACTTGAGACTTGAAATAGAACTTTCTCCTCAAAGGGACTCTCATTCCCTTCAATCTGTGACTGTTGCAAGAATTGGGATTTTTATTTTTTTTAAGTTACTACTTCCAACATTTTAGCTGACTACATAATATAGCTTCTTTGGCAACGAGTAGCCAGAAAGTTTTTGCTGCCAGAAATATTTTGTATTTTATCCGCTTTGTGACAAAATATTTCGCCGTTTGCCACCTTGTGCGCATGATATTTCCAAAATGGCTATGTACATACTAAAATTTGATGAATTCTTTATATGGGCACTATTTTCTAACTGAACCAACAATTGATGAATATTTAATATGAAAATTTTATGACGAAACGTACAAATTTTTTATAAATATTTTTATCAACCAATCAATAAATAAAATTTAACCTGAAATTTTTAGAATTAGGTTCACAGGAGGTCCAGCTGTTATAAAAGCTATATATTAAAGATGGAATTAAATTTGAACAGATGTTTTAAAACTGTGCGCGCAAGTTGAAAACATGACGAAAATGTTGTCACAAAGCGTATTAAATTATAAAATATTTGGGCTACAAATTTGACTATTTCGAAAGCGCTATATATGGAGCGCTGTAAAAAGTGGATAATGCTTTTTAAATAAAAAGTTATCCCAATTTTTGCAGCTATTCACACATCTTATGGGTTAGGTGTATGAGTCCCTTAAGAACTGATAACAAAACACACATACTTCAAATGAGAAGGAAAATAATATAATTTTAAAACGTACTTATTTGCAGACGTCTGAAGAAAAATAATAACGTATTAGAAACTTTCTAAATTGTGATTCAAATCTTATTATTGCCACCTTAAAGTATTATGGCACTGATTGTCGAATACACGGTTAGGGTCCGATATACAAGAATGTAGTGAAATATTCGGTCTTTTACTGACATATTTGTGAATGGTTGACATTCTCCGGTGGAAAGTCGAGTTCTCCAATTTCGGTCTTCAGTAATATTTTTTTAGTTAGATTTATTGCGTGAAGCAGGGAGGGCGGATACTTCTTGCCACTTTACCGCGAAGTCGGGAGGAGGGATAAAATCCAGCGATTAACTCATTTCTTTGTCATGAATCTAACTGTGGTGCTTTAACTGCACTTATGGACTTTGCCTGTACTCATGGACTTTGCCACAGAGAACAGTTGTAAAAATTAAGTTGGGAGACAAATTTTTTTTGAACAGAAGCGATTGAAAAAGGCATGTCCTCGTCGGGACTCGAATTACGGACCTCTCGAATACGCGCCGAGTGTGCTGACCATTACACCACGAAGGCAAGAAGAAGAGAAAAACACCTCATAAAATTATAGTAAATTAATGTGTCATAATCATCCTGATAATTAAGCCGAGTGAGTATCTGAGGGTTACAGATTTGGCTACAATACTGTAGAATATTCTTTGCAGCCGAACTGTTAGAGTAGTTAACGACGCTGACTGAGACAAGAGACTAGAGAACACAAAACATTTTTCTCCAGAGTAAAGAAGTAAGTAGCCGATTTTCTAAGTAGTGTCTTGACAGCGGGCAGAAACATTTCTCAGTCCACTTTCAGATGCCTGCCGCCCAACCAGCATAGGAGTTAATGACTCTGACTGCCTAACCGAAGGGCCCGGATTCGAATTCTGGAGAAGGCATGCGTGTATGTGCGGCATGGGGGCACTCTATATACACGGCGGACCGAGAGTCCTAGCGAAAGGTTAGTAGGGGAAGATGTGGTGAAAGATCCTTAGACCGGTACCCCCCCCAGGATGCTCTCCATCGAAACTGGGGGGGGAGGAGGTTGAGCAAAGTCGTCTGTCCCCTGTATGGTGTTCAAGACTCTTGCCAGCGATAGCCACAATCTTACATTCCTTGCAAGTTACAACAGCAGAATGATCTCTTTATTTGCTTTAATCATAAAGCTGAAAAAAAAGTCTAAAAGGAATTTTTTTCTTCAAAATCTGAACACCGGTATAATCTGAAGAAACTGTGAATAAGGGTTGAAAAGAATATTCGCTTAGATATTTGAAGTAAAAAAGCAGATATTTGGTATTATTGTGTCTGGGAGCAATATCAAAAACTTGCTGTGTTTACTTTGTACACATTAGTTTTTTTTTTTTTGTTTGTTTGTTTGAAGCAGTAGAAGTGAAAAGTAAGCAATTCCCTTAGCTTGGACTCGAACCACGGACCTCTCGATACGCGCCGAGTGTGCTGACCACTACACCAGGAAGGAATGCTAAGAAGGCTAGAGAAATGCCTTATATACTCCCTCTTTGAAAGAGCGACTGGAGTTTAGGGCACCCAGTCGCCAAATCCTGGTGGTGAAAAATCATCATCCCACCTTTACTTCGGGCTTACTGTTTTTTTTTAGGTTTGTTTTGAAGCAAAATTGAAAAATAAGCATACCTTGCGAACTCGCATCTCGGACCTCTCGTACTAGCCGTTTGTTGTTAGAGAATTTGATAGCGTATAAAAACTAGTGAATGATTTTCTATTGAGGGAATTTAATTTTATTTGATTGATTATTTTACTTTATGCTTTTAGTTTGGAAAACAGTGGCTTCTGGGATATTATTTTTTTAAAAGATATTATTCAAATTTTGTACAGCTTTGATTCATTGTGAAAGAGCAGGAAAGGGAGCAATTTTTTCCAGTCATGATTTCGCGCGCCTTGTCCTTAGAATTCAGAAAGATTTTTCATTGTGTAGTGACCTAGGAGGAATTACGTGACGAAGGTCAAAGTGCTACTGTCTTTCATGTAAGTCATTCAGGTTTTGGCGATTTGGTCGTTTGTTGGCTAAGTGAAGAAGGCGTGCATGCGCGATCACCGTATTCGCATTCAGGTGTTGAAAAAGCAAATTTTGCCTTAAGTAAGGAGGGCCTGATATGAAGCCATAGTGGGAGCTCGCGTTTGAAGGAGAAAGAATTCGAGCTGGAAGGACTTACTCACTCCTGGCTGGCTAGCCTGACTTTGACGTTATCGTAACTTGTCTGGGATGGCAGAACAGGCGAGCTTATTTCCTATGAAACACGTTTCTGGCCGGGAGGGCAACATGCTCCCTGCCGCATTCTGGTAATGGAATTGACAGTTACCTCTGTTGACTTAAGGCTTTCAAGACCAAGCGGATAGCCGTGCTGGCGCGTGCTCCTGTTTCTGTTACAGAGGTAAATAAAAGTCTTCATATGAAAACCAGTTACCTGCGTGTTGACTTAAGACTTTCAAGACCAAGCGGAGCTGGTCTGGCAGCATGCTCTTTTTCTGTTTCCGACTTAAAATACATCGTCCATTATGAAAACCGTTACCTGCGTGTGTGTTTTAAGCAATAGTGCGGACAGGACGATGTCTTCTGAACTCCTTTTGTGACGTAAAGATGAGCCCGCGACGTCCACGCGTATAGATACGAGTCCTCCACTCAGACGTCTTTAAGAGATAGTCATTATTTTTGTGTTTGAACTTAGTAAGTTAAAAAAAACAACGTCGAATCTTAAATAATTCTAGGCCCAATTGTTTCCCTATCGCTTTTAATTACCTAGACAACTTAGGTTTTTTATATGAATTTAATGAAAAAAAAGGAATGACAAAATGAGATTCCTTAGACTCTCTGATGAGGATAAATTTTATTTTTTTGTGATGAATTGATTAACTGATATTTAATCTGAACCTATACATATGTGGGATTATTATTAATATTTTTTTCTTATATCTTGTAATGTTTTTTATGTTTTCGTCCTCTCACGGCGCGTTCCGGGATGCATTTTTTCGAAACGCAAATGCTTTACCGTTTCCTATAACGATCACTAAAGTTGTAATTAGCAAAAATTTAAGAGTTTAGTTCCTCCCTAAGAGGAAGTAGAAACCTTTCACGGCAAGTAGAAACTTATTTAACAATGGATTTTGAGTTTAATATTTAACAGAGTGTGCTGACCACTACACCACGAAGGCATGCTAAGAAAGGCGGGAGAAATATCTTATAACTTCGTTAAACGTAGCATCATGCATTTTATATTATTTATATAAAATTAAAGGTATCCTTGATTTAGATTCATGATACCATTAGTAGAATTAGCTATCGAAGAATAATTCCTCATTATATTTTTAACTAATAAGTAAACTATACAAAGCTTCTAGCTTTATTTTGTTTCTAATTAAACATTTTATTCCTTTCAGGGCTTTTCACTGGAATTATGTCTCCGTCATTTACTCGGATACAGATTACGGTAACAAAGGATTTGAGAAACTTCAAGAGCTGGCTCCTGAGGAAATATGTTTTTCTAGTCCGCAGAGTATCAATGTTGACCATTTCACTGACGAAGACTACAACACTGTCATTAAGAACCTCATGCATAAGACAAATGCCAGAGGTACTTTTTCTCACTTTGCCTGAAGTGCTGCATATTAATTATCAACGAGCAAACGAGGCACCGCTAAGTGTTAGCACAATATGCAAATTCTCACAAGTTACTTATTAACCACATCACCCATTTTAACTATTGAATGCTAATATTTATTTATTCTGCTGACTGGTGGTGTTAAAGCAACAAGCATCAGAGTCATATTCATAAATTGCAAAAATTTGAAGGGTAGTTTTGAAGTTTTAAACATAGAACAAACTTCTTCAGCTGCAGAAGTGCAAATAACGAAGGAGAAAGAAATGATTCGGCATCTTAGCTCCTATAAATGTGAAATTTAGCAGCAGACCTTTGAGATATAATCTAATTGCGAGAGAAAAATCTTACACCGTGCGAAATTTATTCTAACCCAAACATTATCATTTCAAATGCAGACAAAGGTGGCTAGATAGTCGTCATGGACAAAAACATTTACAGTGACGGTATATCTAAACCTTCAAACGAAAGTTCATATAATCTGAAGTCTAAAGTCCGTTCACCTTCGCACCTTTCAAAAATAAAAACTGTGATTAAATCCTTCCGAATTCTTCACCCACCTAAAAAATCACTTACCGTTGCAAATTGCACCAGATTATAATGCTCAACCCAAAATTCATAAAAGTGCTATGCCATTCCGCCTTATCATATCAAATTTAGGCAATGCCTTGTATCTGTTAGCTAAAATTTAGTTTTTATATTTTCAATTTTGTTAGTTAATAACAATTACACCATAAAGAAATACAATAGACCGGTGAATCTTCGAATTATGGTAACTTGGCGAAAATTTGGCGACCAACCCTGCTACAGCAACCTGCTAGTTTTTTTTTTTTTTTTTTGACGCCATTTTGTTTTCACGAAGTAAAGGCATTTTTTTTTAATTCAACATTTTTTCCAACAATTTGCTAGCCGAATTACGCTTATGCTAGAACTTTTATGGAACAAAAGTGTTAATCATGACGAAGATTAGGTGCGAAATAGGGAGAAAGTGCAGAATCGCCCACTGCTTCGCGCCTTTTTAAGAATTGCACATACGCGGTATCCGTGTACACGTCGACCTATTTTCACTTAAAAAAAAATCTCAGAATTGCACAAAAATGGCATTGCGCACACTCTTGACTTTATCCATGTACACATCGACTTATTTTCACTTAAAAAGTCAAAGAAAATTGACAAAAATCCAATTCTTCTTACTCTTGTTAAAAAGTGCCAAACAAATAAGTGGGCGATTCTGCACTTTAGCAGCGAAATTGTTTCTAAGTGCTTATTAGCTAAACTCACGATCGGAATTTTTCGGAAAATGTCACATGACATGTCTCATGATCTCTCATTTCTCTGAGACAAAATAATCTGTGATTCGAACTGTGTACTTCTCAGATTATTGCTAAAGTCCTACCTAGTAACCTTTATCGCCTTACCAAAATGTCGGCAAACTACCCGTTACCATATTCCAAAGATTAGCCAATAGACTTTATAATAAAAGTAAAAAGCATTTTCCCTAGAAATTTCCTCACGTTTTCTTTTGGTGTAAAATAATTTTTCAACAATGTCCTACTGGATGATGCACTTCAATATTTAGAAAGGAAACTTCGAGAATTTCAGTTCTCCTGTATCGAAATTGATGAGTTCATATCCTTTACACAACTCTGTCTGAAACACATTTTGTTTTCCAAAATAAGTATTACAACCAAATTGAGGGATTAGCTATAGAATGCCCTTTCAGTCCTACCCTTGCTGGTAGCTATATGCGTTATTATAAATCAAAATGACTTGAAATTTCAGACTTCTTCGTGTGTTTCCGCTACTTTGACGATACCTGTTTAACGGCAATAAAAATAGTTTAAATAAAGTTCATTCAATAATAAATTCCATAGACCCTGTTCACATCACTTTTGAACTTGAGACACCCTCTTCTGTTCCTTTTCTAGACATCTTATTTACACGAAACATGTCCATCTTCAGTACTGATGTTTACTGTAAATCTTCATTTGTTTACCTTCCTCCACATATCAAATCATGTCAATTGAATAAACAAAATTATTCCTTCGTTTTCCGTGCCCTTCAAGTTTGTTCTTCCAAATCAGCTCTTGATGAAGAACTAAATTATTTAGCAGCAGCTGCCGTTGACAGAGGCTTTTCACCTAGCGTTATTGACCAAACGGTTAAAAAATTCTCACCTCAGCACATAAAATGTATCCTCTCGTTATAGGATATTATAAAAATTCTGTTGTCCTTCCTTTCTTTCCATCAATTAGCTAAAAAATGCAAATATTTGTCAGACGTTCAGCATTCGAGTATTTATCTCTTCTGCCCATAAAATCCGCCCTTCGATATTTAAGGGTCCCATTTCGAATATGAACTACTCGGGTATATGCCGGATTCCTTGTCTATGTGGTTAAATTTTCATTCGTTAAGTTAAAGGAGCTTTAAAATTTCTCGTTAACGAACATTGAGCATTTGTTAGGAAAAACGAGTCGCATAAATCATTTGTTACCCAACACTGTTGGTCAGAAAATCACATTTTCCATTTTTCTGCAGCCAAAAATACTCGAACAATATTTTCCGTTGATGAATTAGATTTTACAGCCGTAAGAATCTTTCAATTCTAGTTAACGATCCCAATTCCAATCCGTTTTCGCCCTTAATTTTTAAGGAAAATATTTCGTAACGGTTTTCATTTATCATCAATAGATGGCATCGGTAATTTATTTTTTTCCTTCTCATTCTTATCGCTTTATCTTACACTACTAAGGGTTTCTCTTTCTTCGTTTGCACTTCTGCAGTCTATATTTAAACTTTTGAAATTTGGTATATATTTTAACCTGCAAATTTATGATTATTACGTTTATTCTTCCCTTAAACTCCTCCTCTAACCGTTATTCAGCATATTATTTTAACGCAAATTCATTCTGCTGGCAAATGAATAGTATTTCGATCTTAGATCTCGAATGTTATTCATTCCCTTTAATTAATAATTAGAATTAATAGTTAGAATTAACTAGAATTAATCTTCAGGACACAGATGGTGTATTTCTCCACCTTTTGTGCCCTGAAGGAATAATGCGTCACTAAACATATCGAGCAATTAGCCATTATGTTGAACTGCACATGTCGCAATAATTGCTGGTACAATGCTTAATTTTCTGTTACTTCTATAATCAATGCTGACCTCGCAAACAGTAATAATTCTTTTCCATTAAAAAAAGAGAGAAAATGTTTGATGCGAATTTATTGAAATTATTATTATTTTATTATTTATAATATAGTATGATATTTATAGTTTATTATTTATGTTATACATTATTACTCCAAAGGGCGTTAGCCCAGAAAGGATATTCATATCGTTTTAGCATTTTGAGTTGATTCACTATAAATGCCGGTTCCCTTTTCAAATTGTTGCCACTCTATTATCGCCCTGTATTATATTTAAAGAAATTAAATAATGAAGAATCTGCATAAATGTGTGTATGTTTCTCGCACTGTGATAAAACAATGTTACCTAGAGCCATCAAATTTTGAATAACTTAATTCTGCACTGGAATAGAAGCCAGGATTTGGAACTTCTTTTACGCGCATCCGGGAAGTGCTGTCACAGTAGTTTTGAGGTAGTCATCTCCAGTAACTTTGAAGTTTCGTGGCCAGTTCCCCGAAGCCTATGATCCCCTTACCTCATTCCTATGGATTTCTAGTTCTGCGATTGCCTGAAATCTAAGATGTAACATCAAATACGCGAGATTTGGCGGAATTGAAAGATACGATAAAACGTTCCTCCTGTGATGTTACGTTCGCCATTATCGTCAATAATAATGTCTTGCATGCAATGCGTTATCGTCTGAGAAGTCTGTTCCGTTGAAAACTTAAAATTCTGATCAAAGTTTTTTTTCTTCTCTCATTTCTTGTATTGTGATTGGTGCTTTACAATGTTGTTCTTTGGAAACGTTTCACGCCACCAGTTTTCTTCATACGTGTTTATTTAATCTTTCCTTTAAAAAAAAGCAAAGAAATCGAAATAAATACTTACCGTAGCATGTACAAAACGATTTACTACGAAAGTTTTATATAGTGACCTTGTAAGGATTATGTTAATTTTATTAACAGTTAAATTTTAAGTTCCTTTCCTGTCAAATTCTTAACTTCAATTTACTACTTCCGGCCAGAACGTAGTTTTAGGATCACTTCTGAATACATAATGAGGAAGAGCGGTATTTAACCGCGAAGTTCTTTGGTCTTAGGGAGAGAGAATCAGAGTTTCTGATTTACGCGCGTCTGCCTTTTGGCCACTGTCTCTTTTAAAGCTGTTATTATTAAGCTCGGCCGTACTCAGGCCCTTGTTAAGCTTCATAGTCAAATAGAGTTAAGGGGCCAACTAGTCCAGAATCTTGATAGTTTCGGCTTTATTTCTTTAGTTAATCTTAGTTTTAGTTTAATTCTTAGTCTCTTAAGTTCAAGCCCAAGTGTCGGCTTCGATTGTACACTCCAAGACGGAGTTTTGTTAAATCTTATTGGAATAAAAAAGGGTTAGTTACCCTTCCATCTCGTTGTTTCTTGTCACACGAACCTAAGCGATTATTCGCTATCTAGTTCTTAAGTTTCGTCACTTTCTACAGTAACTGAGATTTACAGAGTGAAAGTCTTACAACCTTATCGATCCAACATTAAAAAAGGCAGAATTTTTTTAGTTTACTGATTTGATTATTTTACAGAGAAACTTTGCATTTGACTACTTAACCTTTTGAGGCCGGGGCTTTGGTAGCAGTAAAAGCTACCAAAGGACGGGGAATCTTGAACCGAATGCTTTCCCCCCTTTAAGAAATCACCTCCTATTTTGCAACAAAGATTCTTGTGTGTAGTTTAATGGATTCTCAGAGGGGTGCATCTATGTCGCAAAGGAAGACCTTTGAAAGAGTTTTTTGTTTTTTTTTTTTTTTTTTTTTTTTTTTTTTTTTTTTTTTTTTTTTTTAAAACCCCGGGACGTCAAATTTGACATTTCACTCCACTTTTCAGCATGGAAAATGGGGGAAAATGACATGGCCACTAAAGTGGACAACCCCGTCTTTTCAAAGAGAGGACTCTATGGCCACTATAATGGCCTTCTCGTCTTCAAAAGGTTAAATGAAAATTGAAAAGTCAAATAATGTATGTTGTTAAGACTCGAAAACTCCGTAATCATTATTTTGATAATAGCTGCGCAAATTGTACTGCCTTTGATTTTACTCAAATTCAGTAGATTTGAAGTATGAGTTTTTAGCAGTGATGCTTGATCATTATACGCAGATTCAAGATCCGCTTAACTCTGAATTTCTGAAATTAATTGACTTTTCCCTCACAAACCTTCCCAGACTTCGGCAGGTCTCTGCAAATACTACGTTAGCGGATTTATCTCAAAGCTGAGGTTTATTGTAGCACGGAATGCTACATATAAACTACAGAAGAATATTTGTAGACATAATTGCAGTAGGTTAAAATATAATCCATTAGTATACCTCATATTTCATAGTAGTTCGAATGCGTAATGGTGCATGAAAGTTATAAGTTCGAGTTCTTATCATTTCAACCGTAATCTTAATAATAATAACGTTTGTTATACGTGTTCCTTCTGTTCAACACTACACACACTGAGACACAATTCAGATTGCCCCATATTAGGCAGGGGGTGGGTAGCCAGTCGAAATTCCCCAAGAGGATAGTGGTCAATGGTTGCTACAATCCCTGGGGCCTCAGTCCAAGACGGCAAGCTTTTAATTATCTCTATAATCACTGTTACCCCCCCGGACGCAAGGGATCAGCACTCCCATCTCCCTGGGATCACAGTGCCGGGGATCATGAACGCCTGGAGATCTTACTGATCATCGAAAATGCTACTCGCCAGTGCTAAGCGGGAAGCCTGAAGCCGGCCTTCTCTTGTAGGGCTGGTTGTAACATCATCCAGGTCCATGTTCGTTCATACGGCAGAGAAGCAAATGCTTCTCCGCGAAGCCGAGTCCCGAGGCAGGCCCTCTGGGACTCGGGAGCTGCCGGTTCAAGATAGTGGAGGGCTTGGGACATATACCTGCTTACCTTTGTTAGACATCAGGTGCCCCCCCGCCCTCCGTCACCTGTCACCTGTAGGATTGGTTTCCTTTAGTTAAAATTAACATATTGCTCAAATATTTGTTACCTTTCCTGAAATCTTCATATTCCCCTCGCATTTCCTTGCTAGGATGTAATTTTAAAGTGAGTATTTAAACGGATGAATCTCAGAGCGTGTTTTCGCTAGCCAACGGACGTTTCGTTGCTTATCTCTCTGTTACGCTATTACGCCCCTTTGCCATTTCGGGTAATCCTCACGCCTGTTAGGTTTTGTTGAGTCAACCTAAGCTAGCCGTAACTTAACGTGCTAATCCAGCGCTATTCTATTTGGACTTGAATTGATTTATGTTAACGTTTAAGTTACACCGCAAGTGGTCGGTGGTATTGTAAAGCACGAAGATCGTGCCTCTTTTAGTTTTGAATTAATAAAGGATTATCTTCACCCTTCTTCTGCGCTGGTATTTACATCACGCCTGTGCGACGAGAATTCGCCGGGTTCATTTGTAGGATCTAGTTCCGTTTATGTGGAAAAGAAGCGACAGATCTTACAGTCTTACTCCAACCCACCCAGACTGGGCAAATGAAATTTCGTCTCAAGGTATCTTCCTCCTGGGCAAGTGAAACGGCCAGGCTCGTGATTTTATGTCTCTATGGCCGAGCCTGCCAAGGTACGTTCAGATCCGAGCCAGCATTTCACAGGTTTTCCTGCATCGAACTTCGGGGGGGGGGGTTGAGCTTAGTGTTAAGGTCTTTTCACTGCTCTACGGTTGCAGTTGCAATGATAAGAACTCACCTCTATCTGAATTCAGATAGAGGTTGAAACTCCTTCTCAACCTCTATCTGAATGTATGCATGTTTAAAAGGGCATTCTCAGGTTATATAACTCAGGAATGTTGTGTGCATTATAAGTAAGGCTGATCTTGTATCTCTCCAGAGCAAGGTGACATAGGATCAAGGCATTCCATTGGATAGTGTAATTATTGGAACATATTGCCTTTCATGTCTTACCTGTCTAAAAAAAGAAAGAACTTCGAACTAGTTAATTAATTACATTTTTCCAAGGTAACATTGGTTGGTAACATTCCATGGTAACAAGGTCTTCTTCAAAGCCGCATAATAGCTCTTCCGCTACTTTGCCTCCTCTTATACCGGCTTAAGGTATTAAATATACAGACATTTGAAATATTTACTATACATGGTGAACTTTCGCAGTGGATTTCATTTAGCAAGACTGTTCAGACTCTTCTGTGACGTCTGTATTCTAAACACTAAGAAATTGGAGTCAATCACTTACTACATCACTTTGTAGTGAATTTTTTATAGCTTTGTAGTGATAATTCATTCCATTATCATTATTAATTAAAAGGATATTTTAATTCCAGTGGTGAATATATTGTATATTCTAATATAATATTATATTTATAATAAATGAATGTAATTTTATCTCTACATAAAACGTTTTCATTTTATTTTCGTATTAGATTTGCAGTACTCTTTAAAGAAACCCGCAAACTATAATGGTCATCCCGTACCTTTGTACCTTTGTCTAATTTACATTTGCAAAAATTATTTATTCTGTTACACTAAATGCACATAAATATTAGAGGGTAAAGTATTTGATTAAATTGAAGAAATGTCATGCAATAGTAGGAAAGAAAAATGGTTTTACAATGTTAATTGAAACGCGTTTGGATGGCTTCCTTCTGTTTTTCATGGCACTCATAAACTTTTAATTATCTCTTTATTTAGTCGTGGTTCTGTTCGCTGATAAACAGTTGGCAAAGAATGTGATGGCAGCAGCCAAACGGAATAAGGATGCCTTCAACCGTTTCGTTTGGATCGGCAGCGAAGCCTGGGGTGGCCGCAATTACGTCGTTGAAGGTCACGAAAAAGTGGTGGAGGGAGCCATTACTGTTTCGTCCCTTCTAAGACCACTCACTGGATTCGATGAACATTTCAAATCACTTACTCCCGCAAACAATGTAGAAAATCCATGGTTTCCTGAATTCTGGGAAGAATACTTCAAGTGCAAGTGAGTATTAATAGCTCATACAAATTTTAAATGAGTTGAATCGTTCAAAAAAATATTTATGAAGCAGAAACCTTTTTCACTTTGATTTCAAATGATGTTGTTGTTGTATTGTTAATATTACATGGAACAACGGTTGCCAGAGCCTACGCCAAAGAGAGTTTGGACTCCTATTTTCCACCCCCAATTTTGAGAGCGAGCACTCCGAGGGCGATCCCGGGGTCTCCAATCCACCAATCCACACAGGAGGACTTTCGACTCGCCGCATATTTAGAGAGCCGCCATCTGCAACGACACTATACATTTTCAAACATCCATGTCTTCTCTGGCATTCGAAACCGGGTTTTTCGGTACCGTAGGTAGGCTCTCGTAACCACTATACCGTCTGGGCGACGATTTCAAATGATAAAAGTGCGTCATGAAAGGGAGAATCATCAGTGCTAAAAGGAATAATTTCTTTCATTTCAAGAAAAAAATTTGCGATGACTATAATGAATATCAAACATAAAATGTATAAACTTATACGACTCATTAGTTGTTACATATACAGTTGTCTTTGTTTTTTATCACTCTAAGTTGTACTGTAGGTAGATCTCGAATTTGCGTTTTAGAATATTAGAGATTCACATTAGAAACGACCGTAAAGCTTTATCAAACGTTTGGCAATTTCATTCATCCCGGTGTGTTATATCACGTTCCGAAAACGTATTCCTGCACACTCGTATCATCCACTCTCCTTGGTAGGAGTCTCAATGAATAAAAAATAATGTTATTTACACTCAAATTATGTCTTTTTTCAAGAAACGTATTGAACCAAAGGTAGCAGTTGTCCCTCTGAATAATTAAAGATCTATGCATATATTCAGCGTCCAAAATACATAAGCGTACGTCCATATACGTGTCTGCGGAACTGTGATTGTGGAGCAGATATAAGCGCACGAGGGGTTTCGGCGATTTATGTGCTCGTGCCTTCATGACATTTGCCATGTTTCTTACAAAAGTTGGGTAAATTTTATAAAATATCATTTAAAATGAGTAGCACGAACATATAGATGATGGAATGAGATGGCGAATTGTGGGTAGGTTGGAGGTAGCCCATTGTGAGCTCAGTGTAACGCTCAGTTCTGTCAGCAATTTGTGGAAACTGTTTTAGGACACTGGATCTATATCGGCAAGGCCTGGAGAAAATCAACCAAGATCCACAACGACGAATGGGGATGGTTACTTGGCACTTTTACCGTGGGGACTCAAGACTGCTACACAGCTCTCATGTGAGCAGTATGCTCCCAATGGAATCCGAGTTTCACGGTCTACAGCTGCCTGATGACTTCCTGAGGTGGGGTAGTATCCCAGAAGATCTGTTTGCGTCCTGCTCACTGCAGCACAAAAGACAGAGCGTCTAGCATCGTGGAGACAGCGTGCACCTTAGCCAAACTTGCCACATGGTTTTATACAAATGAGTCGAGATTCAGCCTGGATTCTCGGCGTACATGTATCTGGAGAGAGATTGGTACACCATACCATCCCTCCCTCATCAGGGAATATGATCAGAACGGCGGTGAGGTGTAATGTTTTGAGCAGGCATTATCTTGAACGGCCACACACCCCTGCATGTGTTTACCAAAGGCTCCCTAGCTGTTATGAGATATAGAGAACAGATCGTAGAGCCCTACGTTAAACTTCCCAAAAGGTTCCCTATGTAAAACATTTTAGTTTGTGTCCTATAATGGACGTAAATGCTCGTCCACATAGGGCTCAACTGGCTTATGATTACATAGAAGGTGAGGATATTCGCCGCATGCATTGCTTAGCCATATTTTCTTACCTTGACCCCATATAGCATGTCCTGGATGCTCTTAGTAGGACAATTTCATCTCGCAGTTGCCCTCCAAGAACCATCTCGCCATCGAAAAACTTCCCTTCTTCAGGAGTTGGACAACTGCTTCATGTCCAGTATTCCGTCACGCTGCGCGACTTATGTTACTGTGAGTATTGCTGGTGGCTGCGCGACCTGCCTGGCTAGTGTCAATATGTGCCATCCTTAACCTTCAATCCTCTCATTCTGCAATAATTTCAGAGTGCCATTGTCATCTCCGACCAACACATACTTCTAACGTGCCTTCAGTTTTCATACCGTGTAAGAGAGCTGATTCTAATCGAGTACGATGCATTGAACTGACATGAACTATCTGGGCTTATGGTTCAGTTACTAAGTTTATTACTGAACTGTGTTCCCGAAGAACTGTGTGTACCACACTGTATTGACTCGCGCTATATGGATAAATTGACATTACGAAATTTATTGTGTCTATTTATTGTATCTGTTATTGTATCTTTATTCTATCTATTTATTGTATTTATTATTACGAACTTTATTGTATCTCACCTACCTATGAACATTGCCATCACCAAATGTAACAATATGTAGTGCTGTATATCCAAATATATAACATCTGTATGATTGCATGTAACCTTGTGTCATACGCAATAAATACGGAAAGGTAGTAACATCGGGGTAATATCATTTTTACTTATAGCGATGATATGGTGCCCCTCTGTATTTGTTCCTGTTCTGTCCTGTCTGTCTGTGAGTGTCAACAAGTTCGTTTGCATATTTTCAACTATTATGTCTCAGTGACGCACAAGTTACATATTTCAGCCCTGATATGGCACTGTATAATCTTGTCGCATACCTCAGCCTTTGTATGGCACTGTAATCTTTCTTTATTATTAATAAATTCCCAGGGAGCATTTTCGCCTTGGTTTAGGCGTCCGGCGCGAAGAGCCCGTATGGCCTCCCCTTTACTATCCAGGAGTGCTCCAGATAACGGTGGGTGTGGTGCTTTACTGATTAAATATTATGGTAGAGGGACAGTGACCACGTCCTCCGTCCCTTGTGACTTGTCTGGCTGTGAGAAGACAGGACAGGACAGGAACAAGTACCACGCCATCGCCATTGACAAAAATGGTATAGCCCTCATGCACTACCTCTCTAGCGTACCGCCCCTTCCACAGGGGACCTGATTACGGTATACATAGGACACAGTACTAACAACAAATAAGACATAGCACGTCATACTGTTACAACATACTTCTACACACAGGGCATAGCATTAACATATTGTTACAGATTATTTACAATGCAAGAAGTTATGTTCGTTTTAGACCTTGTTGGTTTTGGCACCACCCCTTCCACAGGGGACCTGATTACAGTAAACATAGGACATAGCACTAACAACGTATAGGACACAGCGCAACATGCTGTTACAACATATTTCAACACATAGGACATAGCATTATCATACTATTACAGATTATTTACAATGTAAGAAGTTATGTGCATTATAAAGCTTGTTGGTTTTGGCATAGCATATGCTTTATGATACCTATATTTGAATTATTATTGAATGTTGTACTGCGGTAATTAGGTACATAGTGTTCCATTTGGCCCAAGTTCAATGTTCAGAGTTTAGCGGTCCATGGGTGCACTACTTTAACATGTACTTTGATGAATTATTGCATTTAATGCACTGATAAGCTGTTTCAGTACACATGTGAAATTGGTACGTTCTACCTGGTGTAGATTCTGTTACCTGTTTAAGGTGGTGTTTGAAGCATACCCCATATTAGACTCATTTTCAGTTCGATATCGTAACTTGGATTTTAGACATTCCTGCACTTCACTTTACTGATAATCCCGCGCACATTCAGCCTGAGTAAAAACTTTAAGGCCAGTAAAAATTTTTAAGAAAATATAAAATGAAATAAAAGGGGTTCAAATAATATTAATTATTAAAGTTCATTGATAAGAAATAAATGCTATAAACATAATTTGTAAATACATAATTATGAGAAACATGTGGTTATTTACAAAGTTAGTATTTCTGGCTGAGTAAAAACTTTAAGGCCACCAGTCATTTTTTAAAAATAAATATAATATAATCGTGTAATTACCATTGACACTACCAGCTTGTGACAAAGCTGCAATTTTCATTTTTTTCGTACGTCTTTTTGAAGTATTGGTGATCTTTCTAAAGATGGCGAATGGTAAGAAGTTAACTGATCGTGAAAGAGGAGAGATCGAAGCTTTGTCTTCAACAGGAATGAGTAGTCGTGCTATTGCGATAAAGATAGGAAGATCAAAGACTGTAGTCAACAATTTTTTTTAATTGAAAGACAATTATGGTAAAGAGAATACTGGGGGAAGATCTAAAGCTTTGTGCTCGCGTGATGAAAAAAGAGTTTGCCAACTTATATCTACTGGAAAGTACTCAACCAGGAAACTGATTCCGACAACAGGTTTAAAAGTTTGTCAAAAAACGATTTATAGCACAATTAGAAGGTCTGGAATGTTCATTTATACAGAAAAATTGACTAAGCCTCAGTTACTGCAGACACACAAAATAGAGCGTTTGAACTTTGGCCAGAAATTCATGACCTGGGACAACCAATGGATAGAAATTATTTTTTCTGAAAAAAAAAAAAAAGAAAAAGAAAATGGAATTTGGATGGACCAGATGCCTGGAATTTCTACTGGCATGATATAAGAAATGAAAAAGAAATATTCTCCAAGCCGATTAGGTGGAGGGTCCAAGCCGATTAGGTGGAGGGTCTGTCATGACTTGGGGCTGTTTTGCTTACAATGGTGTGGGCTCAATTGCATTCGTTTCAGTTAGAATGAATTCACAAGGATATCAAAATGTCCTAACAAATCATCTTTTGCCAAATGCTGAATGTCTTGCTGGAGAAAATTGGAAATATCAGCAAGACAATGCATCCTTCCATTCGAGTAACAGCACAAAAATTGGTTCCAAGTCAACAATGTTGAAACTGTGAAATGGCCAGGTAGATCACCTGACCTCAACCCAATCGAGAACCTTTGGGGTGACTTAGCAAGAAGCATTTATGCAAATGGGAGACATTTTACATCAACAACAGAGCTGAAATCTACTATCGAAGATGAATGGTATAAAACCGACCCCACCCTTTGTCGAAAAAACTCGTTTCATCCATGAAAACAAGAATATTTGAAGTAATTCGAAGAAATGGCTCCTACACAACCTTCTAAGAATTTGTAATTTTTTTCTTATATGTTATTTTCTATGTTGGCCTTAAAGTTTTTACTCAGGCTCAAATATTCATCTGTGTGTTCTGTAATATTTTCTAATAATAAAATATTTTCAAATTAATTTTTCTACTTTTTTTACTTTTATTTAAGCTTAATAATTATCAATCAAATGGTATTTTAATTCCTCAGTTTAAATGTTTCCATTTTCTCAAAATTTTTACTGGCCTTAATGTTTTTACTCAGGCTTTAAAACGACTTTTTAATTGTATATCAATTTGCAGTTATAAATGTTATATTCATACCAGATTTACTCAGAGAATTTTCTCATTAATTTTTCAGAAACTCGACACAATGTTCATATTCTCTTAATTCTGCTCACGAATGTCCTTCCATGGGAATTCGCTCGTTTTCCGGTCTCAGTAGTTTCCCATGGCAAAGCGTACATTTTTATGCTATCATTCCGTGTCAATTAGACCTTAACTGCTTGACGATTCGAACGCTTCTGGCTCTGAAATTCCTAAAATTCTTCTAAATGCAATGAATAAGCGATATTTTTCTTGATTATATTTCCAATATAACCCTTTAAACCTTATACCTCTACTCTATTTTTCTCTCAATATATATCCAATCTGAAATCGAATCCATCGAGAGCCGACGGAGGATTTCGTGTGTAATGAATCGAAAAGGCATCCTTCTATGCAGAATTTTACGCCCATACCTTTGGAAGATGAAAGACAATAAACACACTAAAAAAAATTAAAACTGCCTTCTAATAGAATATTCAACTGGCTAAGCTAAAATGCCTTTAACGTAAAGTACATCCAACCGTTAATTTTAACAAAAATTTATTGTAATTAATAAAAGAAGTTTCTAACGCTATATATTAAATACCTGTTACAGAATCGTTCAGCTTTCTTTAGATTTATTAATTTTTAAATGATCTAATGATGCATCTTAATTAATGTTCCTGATGTGTAAAGCTATATTTATTAACTGGAAAGAAACACGCCCATTTAAAAAGAAATTTAGAGATCAAATATAAGTCTCTCTGGTTTAGAAGCAAAATTAATTCACAAATTTTGGAGAAGCAACAGTCATATAAATTCGTAAATCAATAGCGCATCAAAGCGAAAATTAATGTAGTGCCATCTGTGAATAAAAACTGTAAAGAATGGGAGAATTAGAATTAACCACAAAAAATTAATTTCTGTGAGTGTCAAAGGCTTCAAAGAAATCCGGTCAACTGCTTAAAGAAGATTTATGAGTAATTTTATAGAACCAGTGTCAAAGTGATAGTGACCAAGTATCATTAACAATCGAAGCGTTTTTTTTCATCTATCTATAAAAATCATTGTTTGATTCTTAAAAAATTCACTTCTGATTTTGATTTTGGGAAGAATTTATAGCGTATTTTGTCAATGGGATTTGACCATACTGGCTGAGCTAAAAGCATTAAAATTTTATTGTATACCAAAGAATAAGAACCTTTTTTTTTTTTTTTTTCGAAAAGAAGAAATAAAGAAATCTTCGATAACCGATCATAGTTGGTCACTCGATCACAATTTTGACTTTGCTTCTGTGAAAATTATCCCCAAAATATCATCCGTAAATCTAATTAATTTATTTTAAGTCTTTCCCATTCACAAAATTTACCTTCTTAATCGATGACAGTAATTCCAATTCAATTCTTACCAATACTTTCAAAATTCTTATATATTATTTTCTTAGCTTTTTTCTTTCATTGCATTTCTTTAGTGATAGCCATAACTTTAATCTTAAATTTACTCCGTCCATCAATTTCCCAGTAAAAATTGTTCTTGTTTCTGAAGAAGAGAGACTTATGTCTAACCTCCTTGGTAGTCTATAAAATTTTATTCAAATTCTACGCCTTTCAAAATCTGCCTAGTTATACTAAAAACTTTAACATAAAAAATTAAGATACTAAAAACTTTAACATAAAAAATTAAGGAAACATGGTACAACTTGTTGAAAAAATATTTTCTTTTAATTCAATATTACGATTTCCCTTTTCATGTATCAGCAGGCCTTCTGCTGTACAATTAAGTTTAAAATTCTCATGATGTTGATTAATTGATAGTGAAATAAAATCATAAATGTGCATTCGAACTCAAACATAAATTAATGTCATTTCGATGATAAATCAAAATACGACATTTTTGCAATGTCGTGACCGTCACATTTAAAATATATGTAATTTTCGTACCTGTTTGCAGATTACTTAAAAACTGCCTATTTTAGAAAAGAAACCAACCTGGAGTAATCTAAGAGCCACTTAAGCTGAATCGATTATTTCTCAAAATCGATTTCTCTGAACCGATTTTCAAAAATGTCGATTATTTTTGCACTGAAATGAAAATATCTTGGATAAGTTAACATGCAAGTACTTCTCTTTTAAATCAGTTGCTAATTACAGAAATTGGTGTGAACGAAGAAAAAACGAAAGTAGACTACATGTAACTATACAGATCCAATTTAATCGCATTTATTTTATCATTACTAATATGATAATTATTTTTGACGCTCATTTATTTGATATTTTTACATCCCTCCCCCAGGGTGGCAAGCAATTAAAAACAGAAAGATGTAAAAGTTTAAAACTAAAGTTTAAATCTGTGAATAAAAATAATAAACTGTGTATTGTAAATGTGATGTTGTTTTCTGTTAAGCAGAGAATCGTGGAATAATTTATGCCACTTTAGTGGAAGGATTTAAAAAGCAACATAAACATTAAAGCGGCACATATATAATTGTAGACGAATTGTTAGTATTGTAAATAAATTCTACTTGAAAAGCTGCCTTTCTATATTTATAGTCAAGGTTATAACGGAGAAAAGAGGCTTAATTACTAAAGAAAACTCTTAGAGCTAATTACCTCTCAACTAATTTTGTTTGTCATTCGAAAGCCAAACAAATAAATGAAAAAAAGAAAATTTTTTCTGCATAATTTAATTAAATTCCCCTCAGTAGAACTTCACACTTGTCACTAACATACGATTTACTTGTGAAAGAAAGGCAGAATATTTTGATATACTGATTTGATTAGTTAGTAGAAAAGATGCCAGTTTGAATATATACCATTTCACTCTATTATTTAAACATATCTTTGTAATGAAAATAGTATCTTCATTTTTTTTTCAAACAATTTACTCAAAAGATAATGTAATAGTTAAAATTATTAAAGAAACAACCTTGTATTTGTCATAGATTTAAACCCCCCAAAATCAATCGATTTCAAGGGCAAAAAGGTCCCTCTTCATCAGGAGCAAAGAAATTCGCAAAGACTGGAAAGCAGCGTCGTAATGGTCGTGTTCATACCCTACTGCAATAAAGCAAACAGGAAGGTAGCGCCATCTGCCGGCAAAATTTGTAACGAAAATTGAAAATTAAGCTAAGTTAATAGAAATTTAAAAGTGGTAGGAAGCATTAGATTGGACTAAAGTCATTAAACAAGCTAAATCTTTGTGAATGTGAAAAGCTTCAAGAAAATCTAATTCACCAATGTGTGTGTGTGTGTGTGTGTGTGTGATTATGGCAAAGCCTTGAGGGCTATCTGCCTAAGGGGAGGGATGCCTTCGTGGAGGACTTTCTAAGGGAAACTGGCTCGTATACACGTTACACATGGGGAAAACCACGAAAACGCCCATGCAGCCAGCCCGTTCGCGGTATTCGAACCTCGGACCGAACTACCAGTGTTCAGCGACTTTACCGCTCGGCCGCTGGATACTTCACCAATGAAAAAAGTTTTTTGGATAATTTTTGCAGATTCACAGTCAAAATTATGGTTATGCTCCCAATTATGATTACCTACCGAAGAGGTTAATTTCGCCTTTTTGGACATAGGATTCGTGTTCCTTGATACGAAATTTCAACACTTTTTTTGCTTCTGTTGAAGAGGGACCTGTTTGCCCTCGATATCGATTTTGCTAAATCTGAACTAAATACAAGGTTGTTTCTTTACAATTTTTATTATCATTAAGAACTTTGTTGTACTTCCATTTCATCCTTTTGTTAGTTATAAAATGGCACGGATTCCCTAGAAGTTCAATTTTCAAGTAATTTTTTCTTCTGTCAATAAAATCCATCGTTCTTTTCTTAAAGATTCCATTTCTGCTTTTATTCTTTGGAAATTTATAGCATATCGTGTCAATGTGCTTTGAAATATATCAACCAAACTAAGCGTTTAAGTTTCGTATCAACAGGTCCCTCTTGAACAGAAGCAAAAAAATTTACAAGACGGCCAAATTAAAAGAGCGTTGAAATTTCGTATCAAGGAACATGAATCTTATGTCTGAAAAGGCGAAATTAACAAGTCTTCGAAAGGTAATGATAGCTGGGAATTGAATCATAATTTTGACTTGGGATCTGCAAAAATTATCCAAAAACCGTCTTCCGTTGGCGAATTAAATTTTCTGCAACCTTTTCACATTCACAAAGATTTAGTTTGTTTAGCTAATAGCTTTAAATCCAATCTAGTCCTTCCTAAAGCTTTTAAAATTCTATTAACTGAATTGTTCAAATTTCGTTACAAATTTTACCGGCAGATGGCGCTACCTTCCTCCTGGCTTTATTGCAGTAGGGTGTAACTAGGACCGTTATGTCCATGGCTTTGCAGTCTTGCAAATTCTTTGCTGCTGATGAAGATAGACCTGTTTGTCCTCGATATCGATTGATTTTTTGTCTAAATCCCCGCTAAATACAAGGTTGTTTCCTTACTAATTTTAAGTTTTACTTTGGCGTATTTCTCTTCTGATCTGATAATGTATATTTATTTTGCATTCTCTTTCTTTTCCAGGCTTCCAGATTTTGATCAAACCCCCTATAACAAACAGTTCAAAAAATGGTGCTCCGAGCAGAGAATCTCGGAGAGTAATGGTTATGTGCAAACACCAGCACTTCATTTCGTCCGAGATGCTGCGTACGCGTTCGCACATGCGTTATCTAGCATTCGCAGCGCCAAATGCAAAAATGACGAGGGGCTCTGTGATGAGATGATGACGATTGATGGACGAGAGCTCAAAGAACGCATGGAAAAAGTGCACTTCAAAGGTCAGTAACTTAAGAATATAAATAGGTCACTTAAATATATAAGTAGCATATATAAATAGTCATACCTTAAATCTAGCCGTGACTTCTTTACGCTGCATGTATACCATAACCAAATACACTAGTATAGTTTGACCGCCTCATCTGCGACCATGAGCTCAAAAACGCATGCGCCGTTCGGACCGAATTATTCTCAAAATAGTGTGGAACGATCCCCATCTTTCCACACTATTGTTTCCTTCTAGCATATAAATTCTCTCTTCCCGAAGGTTTGCATGTGACTTCTCACGCGCAGGAAGTAATAACGCCCCTTTTGGACAAGTCTATGTGTATTGGCAGAATGCCAGCCAAGGTTGCGTTTGAGACGGTCGAACTGATCATAGTGATTTAAAAGGGAATTGAATCCGCAACGTGTCATTAAGAATATGAGCGCAAAATTACAGAAACCATCTTAATAACTTTTTACTTTTAAGTTTTCATCCTATTAACTCAGCAAATTCACTGTCTAATAAGTTGGTTTTGCCGATGATAGCTTTCGTGGAGTATTATGCCAGTGTTTATTTGTGTTCTCGGTGCTATCCACATAGACAGATTCTACCAAGAATGCGTACTTAGCATATCCTTGACTCTTTTATTCTTAGGAAGAATTTAATATCGACTTTAAAAAAACTCTAGAAGAATTATCTTCTAGTCTTGTGAAACAAAAAGAAAAGTCAGAAGAAAGGTGGGTGTATAAGATCCTTTTATTTGAACTCGAAAACGTAGCAATGACCCAACTTGGGTTTACAGAAGCCAACACTTCTGGCTTAACTTGATTGAGTAACGTTGAACTAAAATCAAATGTAACAGATTAGCCTAATGGCTCACAGCATAAAGTAACGCGAAGGAAAGGCTCTGGTTTGTACACTGACTACCAATAAGTATTTGGACACCTGTGATAGAAGAGAAAAACTAACTTTATTCAAAATAAATAGTTGGTAGAGCCTCCACGAGAGGTAATTACAGTGTGGACCCTCCGGAGCATACTTTCCACAAGTCTTTGTTTGACAGCTAGTGGTATTTTCTTCCATTCGGCTTGGAGAAGACATAGAAGTTCCTTCACCGATTTTACACGGGTAGTGCACCCCTGAATTCGGCGATGCAACTCGTCCCAGAGGTTCTCGATAGGGTTCAGGTCTGGACTCTGGGCAGGCCAGTCCATTCGATGAACTCCATTGGCACCATAAAAAGCCTTGGTTAACGTCGAAACATGACAACTAGCATTGTCGTCCTGAAAGTAACAGGGGTCCAACCCGTAAAACTGCCACAACGTGGAAAGCACATTGTCATCCAAAATAGTGCAGTAGGCATCGGAGTTGAGCTTACCATGAATGGGGACCAAGGGTCCCAGCCCATACCAGGAGAAACACCCCCAAACCGTAATTCCACCTCCGCCGAACTTGACTGTTGGCACAATGCATTCTGGCAGGAGACGTTCTCCAGGTAGACGCCAGACCCAGACCCTGCCATCCGAACGGTAAAGGGTGAACCTTGATTCGTCACTCCAACCCGTTTCCACTGATCTACGGTTCAATTTCCATGTGCTTTGCACCACATTAACCGAGCAGCGCGGCTGGACTTTGTGATCAAAGGCTTATGGGCAGCAGCACGACTATAAAAACCAAGCAGATGTGCTTCCTTACGGATGGTATTCATTGAAACAATACTCCCGGATGCCTATTGAAACTGTGGCTGTGGAAAATGAGGGCTATCGGTTGGGTGCGGTTCTTCCGAATTTCTCTGAACAGCACTCGTCGGTCTCTATCTCCCAGTTTCGTTGGTCTGCCGACTCGGGGCACATTCCGACAATCACCGCTCACCTTCCACTTCTTAATCACATAGGCCACTGTCGATTTTGGGTACTTCAGATCGCTAGATATGTCCCTTAAGGATCGGCCACATTTGTGATACCCGATAATTATACCTTTCTCGAAATCAGAGAGCTCCGAACTGCGAGGAATCTTGAATGCGACTAAAGCCGATGCTGTTTCCTACACGATATATACCGGCGGAGTCCGTGATGTACCTTAGGACCGCAGATATCGTCATTTGCATAGGTGTCCAAATACTTATTGGTAGTCAGTGTAGAAAATGAATGAGACAAGCATAATGGCTAGAAGCACTCATCGCCACAGAATCAAATCGCTAATAAGTCCCGGTATAACATGGCGTCAAATAGGAAAGTAAGTTGTAATATCAACTTGCGAAAGTTTCACTTAAATAATACCTCTTTTCTCCCTCAATCTAAAAAATCTGATGTATGCTTGTACGTGGTGTGTGTGGTGCATTTAATTATGGCAAAGCACACTAGGGCTATCTGCCTAAGGGAAGGGATGCCTTCGTGGAGGACTTTCTAAAGGAAACTGGCTCGTATACACGTTACACATGGGGAAAACCACGAAAACGCCCATGCAGCCAGCCCGATCGCGGGATTCGAACCTCGGACCAGTGTGACTCTACCTGTGCTCAGCGACTTTACCGCTCGGCCGCTGGTGGGCCATGTATGCTTGTACAGAATATTAAATTATACGCACTTTTTCTTGCAGTTCATTTAAACTTCTTGGATTAAATTAACTCTACTTCGTCGATAGCACATAAATCACAATAGAATAAATGCACTTTTTAAAATTCACTATATTTGTTTAACATAGCAATACTCTGGCCCTAGTTTCATTTAAAAGCGCTACATTTTAATCATTATTTAACTCAGAATTCACAAAATTTATATAATATTAAGAATTATCTAATCGTTGCCACATGTTCAATTCAAATATTATAATAAATCTAAAACAATGTATAATAGAAATTAAGAAAGAACAACAGCAAAAAAAAGGAAGAAAACGTTTTTCGGAGGCGAATTTATTTCTCATTCAATTAATTCAGTTCTCACTTCGCGACAAGGTAAATATCCATAAAAACTCAAGATGTCTGTATAGAAAATTACGAAGTAAATCTTAAACACTTATTTCCTCGAAAAAATTCCAGAATGTATTAAGCATGGTTTAATTCGCGATAATAAAAGAAGGCGTTATCTTTGTTGTTGCGAAGCTTACTTTCTCTAGATTGGCAACAAATGTACTATTCTGTTGTTTCAAATGTAAACAAGCAATGGCCGACATGGCAAAACTTATTAGCGGCGCTTAAACAACTTTTAAATTGTTCATAATTCTAAAAATATTGCATACAGGTTTACTAAAAGCATAAAAATCTTAACCGGAAAATAAGAACAACATAATCATTTTTAAAGTAACAAATGTACAATTTACAAACATATAAGAATAAAGAAACTGAGATCACTGAGCCAGGTAACAGAGTGGATATATATATACACATATTTATATACGTTTGGTGCAGCCGACTGTAACCAAAACACGAGGTGCGCATCTACATGTTATAGCAGTCCTATATACAAAATTTCAACGTTCTGAGGCTACTCGTTTTTGAGTTATGAGAGATACATTTATACGTACGTAAGTACGCACAAGACGCCCCGAAAAATTCTCTTCAGAATTAATTTTAAATTAGTTTTACTATTTTTGGGGAGGGGAGAGAGTCCTTTATGCTGTCCTTACGTACAGATGTCAAGCAAAAACATCGTTAAATTGCATTCGATAGCGGTGAAAATGGATATTTTCTTTGAAATATGATGCCTGAAACTTTTCGCGATTACAGTACTTCCTTTTTATTTCGTACAAGGAAGTAATAAAAGATTAAATTCTATCATGAAACAAGAAAAATGTGAGTGAAATGAGAATAACAGAAAAGGGATTGAATTTAAAATTAACTATTAGTGAAAAATAAACACATAAATCCTCACAACCTGTCAGTGGTGGCTTTGTGAATATGCTCAGTTCAACTTTCAGTTTTGACTCAGTTCGCCAGAAGATGGAATCCACGGGACTTGTATAAGTCTTCGCTTACTATTTATATCGCATGCGAACTTTCATACCAACGGATTTTAAGTACCCGTAGTTGAGAAAAACACTAAAATCACATCTGTGCCTCTCTCAGAACTTGGGCATTTTTTTGCGGGAGCAGTCTTTACTTACCATTTTAGTAAGTGTGTAGGGGTTATGAACGCTGGTGTTTGAAAGCCTTCTAAAAAATAATTATCCTGTGTACAATAGAGTTCCAGCAATCATGAATAACACGCGAAATGTAGCAAAGCATATAAATTTATAATTTTATAGTATGAGGAATGTAACATTTTCTTGGTGTCTTTAATTTTTTTAAATGAGAAGATAATTTCTTCTTCGAATATACACAGCTTCAGTCTACTAATACTTTCAAAATATTTACGGAACTCTTTGGTTACCATTTTTCATAAAACCTTCGAAACTATTTTTACAGCATCTTCATCTCATAAACCTCAAAGAAATCCTTTAAAATCCTCGACGAAGGTATCCCTCTCTTTAGGCAGATAGCCATATTTCAGAAGTCAAACAACAAAAATCAGCGTTATTTACAAAATTTTCACAGGACTAGTTTCGATGGTTTTACCGAACCACCATCCTCAGCTGCAGAACCGCAAATCCTGAGCTGCAAAACCGTATTTTGCGGTTCTGCAGCTGAGGATGGTGGTTCGGTAAAACCATCGAAACTAGTCCTGTGAAAATTTTGTAAATAACGCTGATTTTTGTTGTTTGACTTCTGAATTAATATTTATTCGGCGTGTTATTGTGTCTTAATTAAATAGTATAATGTTACCGCGACCGCGAGGCTTGTAGATCTTTCACCACATTACTGCAGCCTTGTCTGCGAAGCTCGGGTCGCTTGCAGTAATTTTGTGACTGAGTTACCAAGAAACGTTGACTGTGCTTAATAAGTTGTTTAAGTTAAATATCTCCGTTGGACTCCAGGTATTTGTAGAATGGAATCTATACCATTATTTTGGTAACTATTATAAACTCAAATCAAGGTAAGTAAGTTTGTACATTTAATTTATGCTATATTAAGTTTTATAT